TGAGCAGGGGATATCTTTCCATTTCCTCATGTCCTCTTTTATTTCCTGAAGTAGCGTTTTGTAGTTTTCTTTGTACAGGTCCTTTACTTCCTTAGTTAAGCTGATTCCTAGGTACTTGATTTTCTGGGGCACAATTGTGAATGGGATTGTTTTTTTCATGTTGCTTTCTTCTCTCTCACTGTTTGCATATAGGAAAGCCATGGACTTTTGGGTATTGATTTTATAACCTGCAACTTTACTATACGAGTCTATTGTTTCTAGGAGTTTTTTGGTGGAAGTTATTGGGTTCTCTAAGTAGAGTATCATATCATCTGCGAATAGTGTGAGCTTGATTTCTTCCTTTCCTACCTGAATGCCCTTAATATCTCAAAAAGCTATTTTAATAATTACTTAAAAGTCTTTTAAAAGTGTATCAGAACATTGATATAAAACTCATTGATAATTCTAAAATAACATCTGGGTAATATTTGCCTATTAAGAAATATCTACAGAACATTTAATGCTTTAGAGTGTCTGTACAAAAATTTAGAGCCTAATATATTCAGTAACATCTAACATAAAAAAATAAGAAGAGAAGGAAATTTTCCATATCCTCTTGTTAAACATTATGTTTACAGATGACCAGAAACAATAAAATTTATTAGTATAGGTTAATTAAAAGTAATTATTTTTATCTCTTCAAATACCACCTTTAACATGTAATTTTCCATTTATTAAATGAGGGAATTAGTCTCCCCTTTAATTCATAATGTTGTTATAAAGTGACAAATGTCAATATAAAAATACTTTGCCAAGTTAGAAATTTTAATATGTAAATAAACCATAATTTATTAAACAGTATTATAACCCAATTGTCAAAAGGAAAAAAAATGAGTGAATGACAAAATAATTATATGCTCTAGGGAGAAAATGTTTGGATGAGATTTTATTGAGGGCAAAAAAAACACCTTTGTAACCAATAAAGAGAAATTTCTTTTCGTTAATCATTAGAAAGTAGTTATTAACATAAATATTTGTAATCATAGTTTTCTATATAGTATTAGCTCTCAACTACTGACATTTTGACTGACATTTTGCAGATTGCTCTCTCATAAAAAGGGAGGTGCAAGTTGGTCTACTTCGGTGCCAGAAAGCTGCAAACTAATTAAAAGGACAGAAAGAATACTTTAAAAAGCTATTTAGAGTACTGAGACTTCAACTGAACTACTTTCATTTGTAAGGGTAGACTTAGAAAATTTAATTTGCTTTAAAAAACTAAATTTGACACAGCTAGCAACCTTCATATAGCCTACTGATTTTCACTTAGGAAAAGATGTAGAGTCGGGGTAAAGAAGCATAAACATAGGTAACAAAACTGAATGAGGGTGATCCCAAATGAGCAACTGAATTATAGTCAAATTAATAAAGAAAGATCCTACCATGAATAAATTCCTATAAAAGGCACTACAAGCAGCAGGAAAGATAATGTAGGGGTTAAGGTATGTGTCTTGTATGTAACTAACCCTGGTTCTGCCTTGGCCATTACATGGCTTCCTCACAAACATCAGTGGGTGTGGTACTGGTGTCCCCCTGATTTCTCTCAGGTGTGACTGTGGAGGTCTCAAAGCACCACTGGAATGGCTCAAGTAAGCACCCAAGAGCTTAAACATTAGCAGGAGGACTCCTAGACACCCTGCTTGAAAGGTCACCCAAGAAGCATTAAAAATTATATCATTTATGAAATCTAAATCTGGTTAAACCATGAAGGATATTTTCTGAAGGTAGTTTTTACAGTTTGAAGAATTTTATAGCTTTATTACATTTAACTTATCAAAAACTAACTTGAGGGATACCATTTTCAAAGATCTTAATGCTAAGGACTTAATTAGAAAAGTAAATGAGTGATTTTGTGTAAAATTCTGAATTTCAGGTTTTTTTTTTTTTATTAGTGAAACACCATGAGGTACAGTTGTAGATTTACAAACTTTTGTGCTTGGATCTCGGTCATACCACGATCATATACCCATCCCTCCACCAGTGCCCATTTTCCACCACCAGGATAATATCCCTCCCCCCCCATCCTCCCATCCCCCCATCCCCCCCCTGCCACTGTAGCAGGGCATTCCCTTTTGTTTTCTCTCTCCTCCTGGGTGTTGTGATCAGCCAATGAGGCATTAGTTATGAAATATAGCAACAATTCTAAGCTCCAGGATTGTTTTGACTATCTAAAGATACTGTAGAAAGCTGCTTCCTAAACTGCTTAAAACTATAAAAAGTCTTTGCATTTGAGTCATAATTAAAATATAAAAATGTCAATTGTGTATCAGCAAGAACCAATAAATTTCTTAGCAAAACTAAGAAATTGAGTTGGATGTCTTTTCCTATTCTAGCATTCTTCACAAGTGTCCTAATTTCTAAGTGAGCATGTTCATAAACCTTTTGAGTATGAACCATTACTATATTACGTTCTTCTGAGAAGTATACTGTATTTAATTTTATACAGTTTTTCAGGTTGTTGTTACATATTTTGAAGAGTAACCGCTATACAGGTGTAACTTAGTTAATGAAGTCTTATCTTTTTAAGATGTTATGGATTATTCATTTTGCTTAATATTGTGAGCATAGATACCCTCCCGTATCTTTCATTTCATAAATTGTAATGCATGTAATTTTATTTATTATTTTAATTTTTTGTCTTGGAGTCACACCTGTTGGTGCTTAGAGCTCACTCAAGACTCTGTGCTCAGGCACCACACTTGCAGTGCTCAGAAACCTTATATGTGGTGCTGTATATCAAACCAGGGTCAGTCAAGTGCAAGGCAAGTGTCTTAACCACTATACTATATCTATGAATAATTTTTAAAATAGAACAATGGTCATTAAGGTTTGGACCAGATCCACTTTAAGCTTTCTCTTTCCTCAGCCAGTAGTTGTAATGTAATAGAATCTTTCTATTACACAGGTTCCAAGGTCAGAGAGCTCCTCAGATAGAATATGGGCCGCAAAATTTCAGTTTCTATTTTCTCATGAAAAGTAGAAAAGACAATGAGATTGTTCTAGAGATTCTTTTATGTTATTTTTGTAAAATAATATTTTCTAATTTATCCAATAAAGAGCACAGTGCTGGGGGTGGGGGTTCTTTGGTTTATTTTCAGTTCAAAAATTAAATTAAGACATTGATGTCTCTTGGGGCTGGAACAATAGTATTTGCTAGCAAGTAGGACATTTGCCTTGCATGTGGCCAACCTGGATTTGATCTCTGGCACCCCTATATAGTCCCCTGAGCACCACTAGGAGTGATCCCTGAGTACAGAGCAGGGAGAAAGCCCAAACACTGCCGGATGTGGCCCCCAAACCAAAAAAAATTAAAACTAAAAAAGATATTGAAATATCTGAAGTCTTTCAACTTCACAAATAAATTTCATAGGAAATGACTTTCCTTTTTTTTGGGGGGGGGGTCACACCCAGCGATGCTCAGGGTTTACTCCTGGCTCTGCACTCAGGAATACCCCTGGTGGTGCTTAGGGGACCATATGGGATGCTGGGAATCGAACCCGGATCAGCCGCGTGCAAAGCAAACACTCTACCCACGCTGCTATCACTCCAGCCCCCAGGAAATGACTTTTCTTTGTCTCTAAACTTACAAGTTTTAACAACTAATGTTTTCTTTCAACTTCACAAATAAATTCCATAGGAGAGGACTTTTCTTTTTCTCTAAACTTACAAGACTTAAAAACTATTTTTTGATGGGGGAGGATAGGCACTGGTGGAGGGATGGGTACTTGATCATTGTATAACTGAAACCCAAGCACAAAAATTTATAAGTCTATAAATGTACTTCATGGTGTTTCACTAATAAAAAAATGATAAAAAAAATGCACAAAGAGAAATAATGTAACATGTTTTCCTACAAATAAAAAGATTCAAACAAAAAAAAACAAAACTATTTTTTCTATTAACTTTACAATAAATTCCATAGGAAAGGGCTTTTTTTTCTGTAAACTTACAAGGCTTAAAAACTATTTTTTCTATCAATTTTACAATAAATTCCATAGGAAAGGGCTTTTTTTCTCCAAACACTGCAAGGTTTAAAAACTGATTTTAATTCCTTTGTTCTAATTTATTTAATTGAATAATTTAATTAACTTTAATTCCTTTGTTATTTTTAACCCATAACTAAGCACTTCACATACTATTTCAAATCTCTGATTTTCTATTATTTTTAATTTACTGCAATGTATTTGTTTTTCATATCAAAAATACCATAGTAGTTCTTTGCCTTTATTTCTAGAGTAGCACTGAGACATGTCCTAAATATAATTATTGTCCTATATGTCCATAACAGGATTCTAGAATCAATCTCTCATCTCAGGGGCCACTTATAACATTACAATATAAACTAATCTTAACTACCATTTGACCTGTAAAATTCAAGAGCTTTAATTCTGTTTAAAATAAATGAAATACTTTGCTTTTTGTTCTGTTCTAAACTAGCATTTTTCTAATTTGCTGAAACTTTTACATATGATCATCTTTGTATTTTCATAGTAAGAAAAATTCTAGCTTTACAGACTTTTCCCTTCAGTTTTCTAAATGATGAAAATCAAATATGAAAATGTAAAAAATATTTTTTTAAAAAAGTAAATGGGAGTTCATAAATTTTGGTTCTTATTTTAGACCAGTAAAACATTAAAAAACAGTAAAAAATAGTATATATATATGCATATATAATTATTTATATATGAGAAGAAGGATAGGAGAGAAATGACATATAAGATCCTATATACAGGTTATAGAAGTTTATTTTTCAAAGGTCACATATGTATAGAATTCTGAGAAAGAGGAAATTGAGAATTAACTTTACATATAAGAAATAAATATAGAATTTTTCCAAGCCTGTATTATCTCTTGAACATGTATTTATCTCTTTATCTCCTCTCACATAAATCCTTTAAATAAAAACTACTTTGCTTCACCAAAAAAAAAGAGAAAAATATTCCATGGGAGTAAGGAAAATATACCTGCAATTTCCTCTAAAGTGTTGGCATGCATATCCAGCAACACAGTTCCATTCAGAATGCAACTCCTCAATTCAAACAAGCTGTGCAATGAAAGAGTGGCCACATATGGCTTACTCCACCTCTCTCCTCCATCTTCAACATCTTCTTCAAACTTCAACCATCTACACAAATAAACATTGTTATCAGCACAGAGACATTATATTTTTAGATAAACTATCTTTAATCCAAGTAATAAAAGGTAGAAACAAAGATATCCATTCACATTGCCGCTTGGTTTCATGGGTTTGGGAAGTATATAAACTAATTCAAGTCACATTCCCAATGACCTATGTTGAACCAGATTCAATTCCAACTTTTTCTTGTTTTCCTCCAGCATTTGAATCTACTTTCAAATAGTATACAATTAAATGAAATTATAAATGTTTTAAGCTAAGGTATATTATGCTAATGTTAGTAGTAGAAATCATTGATTGACACTTGATTCTCATCCTTGCCTGGAACAAATTTCAAGTTGAAAAAATAATATCTTTTCTCTCCCTCTTTTCATATTATTGACAGAATTAAAGGTAAAAAAAGGTAAAGGCCCTCCCGTTGATCGTCGATTTGCTCGAGCGGGCCCAGTAACGTCTCCATTGGCGACTTTGTTGTTACTGTGTCTGGTATATCGAATACTCTCGGTAGCTTGCCGGGCTCTCCGAGAGGGGCGGAGGAATCGAACTCGGGTCGGCCATGTTGGCCGCTTGTAAGGCGAACGCCCTACCCGCTGTGCTATCGCTCCAGCCCCTGAGTACTATGTAGCTGTTAGAAAGGATGAAGTCATGAAATTTACACATACAAGTGGTACTACATGGAAAGTATCATGCTAAGTGAAATGAGTCAGAAAGAGAGGGACAGACATAGAAAGATTGCATTCATCTGGGAAACATAAAGTAACAAAATAGGAGATTAACACCCAAGAATAGCCAAGATAAGTACCAGGAGGTTTACTCCATGGCTTGGAGGCCAGCTGCTAGGGGTAAAGGCAGCTCAGATAGAGAAGGGAGCACCAAATAAAGGGTGTTGGGAAGATCCTCCCAGGATGGGAGATGCATGCTGAAAGTAAACTATAGACCGAACATGATTGCCACTCAATTCCTCTTTTGCAAACCAAGCACCCAAAAGGAGAGAGAGAACAAAAGAGAATGCCCTGCCACAGAGGCGGGGTGGGATGGGGGATGGGGGGTGGGAGGGATACTGGGATTAGTGGTAGTGGAGAATGGGCACTGGTGGAGGGTTGGGTACTCGGTCATTGTATAACTGAAGCCCAAGCACAAAAATTTGTAAGTCTACAACTGTACCTCATGGTGTTTCACTAATAAAAATTAAAAAAAAAAAAACTGAAGTGCAGTGAATGGCCGGAGCGATAGTACAGCGGGGAGGGCACTTACTTGCCTTGCACATAGCCAATCCAGGGTCGATCCCCAGCATCCCATAGGATCCCCTAAGCACCTCCAGGAATAATTCTTTAGTGCAGACCTAGGAGTAACCCCTGAGAATTGCTGTGTGTGACCCAAAAAGAAAAAAGAAGAGTACAGTGAAGGGGAGCCAGAGAAATAGCATGGCGGCAGCGGTTCCCTTCTATGCAACCAACCTGGGATCAATCCCTGGAACCACCCCTCAAGCCCCACCAGGAGTGGCCCCTGAGCACAGAGCCAGGAATAAGCCCGAGCATCACCAGGTGTGGCTCAAAAATTGACAACCAGAATGTACAGTGAAGGAAAATAGATGATTTCTCTAGGGACCAGAGAGACAATATGGAGTTGAGTTTCTTTGTGTCAATCCCCAACATGCATGTGATCCCCCCAAGCCCTGCCAAGAGTGAGCCCCGAGCTCAAAGTCAGGAGTAAACCTAGTGTTTTCCCCAAAACTGAATAAATAAAAATAAATAAATGACATCTTCAGGGCCAGAGATGACTGTGAGGGCTGGCATGCAGGCTTTCCATGCCAGAGACCTGGTCTGCCACTCAGCACTGAACCATTCCCCACCGCAAGGAGTGACCCCCAAGAACTGGGACCACCAGGTGTGGCCAAAAAAAATTTTTTTAATTCATTAAAAATAAGGGCTGGCATGGTAGTATAGCGAGAATAGTGTTTGCCTTGCACGTGACTGACCCAGGTACAATCCCTGGCATCCCATATGGTCCCACAAGTCTCCCCCCCCAAGAGTGAATCCTGAGCACAAAGTGAGGAGTCCTAAGCACCATTCAGTGTGGCTTCAAAACAAGACAGGAAAAATAGGGGCACATCATTCCTTGCAGACAGCCAACTCTGGCTTGATCCCTGGTACCCCATATGTTCCCCTGAGCTCTCCAGGAGTGATCCCTAAGCACAGAGTCAGGAGTGAGCCCCGAGCACAGCCAGGTATGAACCAGAAACAAAACAACAACAACAACTAGGGCTGGAGCCATACACATCACATGTGGCCAATTCTGGTTTGATCTCCCAAACCCCAGACTCTCTCTGGGGCCCCCCTAGGCTCTGCCCCATCCGCCTGGCTCTGCCGTGCCCACCATCTCTGCATGTCCCCCTGGGTAGCAGGCAGGGGTGGGGACAGGGTTCTGAGAATGTTCAGGCAGCCCTCTGGGAGGTCACCTGCGCCCAGGTGGGCTGGGGAGACCTAGCCACGCGACCCTCGGTCCCATCTGCCTCCTCTCGGCTCTCCCATCTGCCGCAGCCTCTCTTGCCTTTGTAAAAATAGGGCAGATTTTTCCTGAAAGGTTGCGCAAATGCACCGGACAGGGGTGATGACCCCAAACTGACCCACAACACCGGCTTCTCCTCGCGCAGCGGCGGCATCATTGACAGAATTAGCATTCTATAAATAGATTTATAGAATTTATTTATCTATAAATAGATAAATAGAGAATAAATAAACTTTTGCTTGGTTGGTCTTGTTTTGTTTTGTTTTTTGGACCACATCAGCTGTGCTCAGGGGACTTTATAAGTTATAATATCACTAATAATAAAATCATTAAAATATATTGGTGGGATTCATGATCTACATAAAATGATCAAATTCTTTCTATAAAGAAATTTATAAAGAAATCTGTAAATTTTACTTCTAGTAAACTGGGGTAATAATAAATAAATAAGAAAGTTTGCATACACTTTAATGCTGTCTCTCTTGAAAAACACTTGAATTTAGTATCCCCAAGATTCAGTGTGTGTACATGCATTCATTTTTATTCCATGTACACAATCAGTAAGACCATCATAATCAGGACACAAAACTATCTTATCACTACAATGAGCACTCTTATTTGTTTTGTTTTTTGTTTTGGGGCCACACTCAGCAGTACTCAGGACATAATGCTGGCTCTACCCTTAGGGCTCACCCTGGTCTATTTAGGGACTATAAAGCATGCTTGCAAGGCAAGCATCCTACCAGTTGTACTATCTCTCCAACCCCTACAAAGGAACTCTCTTGCGATTCTCAATTCTCACCTTGTTTCTGTTCCCTGCATATCACTATTCTGCTCTTTATTACTATAGTTTTATCAGTTAAGGATGTTATGATATGAAATTGGCATTTTTCATCAGGCAGAATGCCCTTAAAACTACTCAAGTTGTATATACAAATAGCATTTTTTCCTTCATATTGATGAGCTTTTTGATTACATAGCTGTACCAGGGGGGTTATAATCATTCACCCACAAAAAGACATTTTTGGGTTCTTTACAGTTTTATTTTTGCTATTATAACTAAAGATGCTGTGAACATTCTTGTAAAATTTTTCATGTCAACAAAGTTTCTTATCTTCTCTGAGATAAATGCCCAAAACTAAGATTTCCAGATCATACAGTAAATGTATACTTAGTTTTAATAAGAAATTGTGGGTTTGAGATAGTACGAAGATAAGACACTTGCCTTGTGTATGGAAGACATTTGCCTTGCATATGGCTGACCCTGTTTCAATATCCCCGGCACTGCATATAGTACTACAAGTAACACCAGGAGTAATTTCTGAGCTCAGTTTCAGGAGTAAACCCATAGTAAGCCCTGAGCTCTACTGGTGTGGCCCCCAAAAAATAAATAATAAAGTTCAGGCTGGAGCCATAGCTTTACAAGCTGAGCACAGGAGACCTGAGTTCTGTTCACTGTACTATAAATAGTCTCCTGAGCACTATCACGAGAGATCTCTGAGCACCTCTGGTTGTAATTTAACAAATGAAAGAAACTTTCAAACCATTTTCTAACACTTCCTTTTATATTCACACTAGCAATGGATGAGATATCCAGTATCTCTGAAGTCTCACCAGCACTTTCTATTATGACTACTTTTTTGTTTTTTAATTAGATGTACAGTACTATGTTTTTTAATGTTATAGTAGTTTTAACATGCATATACCACACGATTAATAATGTTGAACCTTTAAAAATAAGTGTGTTTGCTTATGCTATACCTCTTTGGTGAAATGGCTGTGGGTTCTTTTTTCCATTTATCTAGTTGATTTGTTTGTTTTTATACCACTAAACACCAAGAATTCCTTACATATTCTAGATACATTTTTTGTGAAAATGTTTGTAAATATTTTTCCTTGCTATAATAAATCTTATCATTCATCTTTTGTTTTCATAGGTGCCATAGTCTCAAAAATAATGTGTAGGTCACTCCCACCAATGCTCAGCCTGTGATTCAATGCTTAGGCCTGGGAACTTAGTTCTGCCCCTCTAGGGTATTCTAAAACTCAGCACCCCCTGCATGCTTGTCATGCATTTTTATCCTCCAGCATTTTTCCTGGCTCTCTTCCCATCCCCTTCTCAGGAGATATCACAGCACAAACATTTTTATTTTGGTAAATTCCAATTTGTTATCATTTTATTTTATAGATCATGTTTCTGGCATCATGTCTAAAATAAATCTTCAGTATCTAGGTCCTACAGATCTCTTCTATGTTTTCTTTAACATTTTAATAGATGTGTGATTCATATAGAGGTTTATAATCTATTTTGAATTATTTTTGTGTACACTGAGGTTTAGGTTACAATTAATGTCAAGCTCTTGATGTATCATTGCTCCAGAATAATGTTTTGATAAGATAATTTATTTTCTATTTAATAGATTTTTCCCTTTAACAAAAGCAATTAGCTCCATTGTCATTGATCTTTCCCACATTTTTAT